TAGAGATTGGCGTGAAAGTTATATTTAGTAGAGTCCCTTGTGTTAAGAACATTCTGAGTCCTGTATGTAGTGAAAAGATCTCCCATAAAAAAGCGAGTTAAAACAAATGTGGCTGGTTTCATGAAACCCAACACTGTGGGGATCCCAGAATGTTGAACATACCTTCTTGGCCAGACCATGGAGGGCTCTGGAAGCTCAAGAGGAACTCTGGGTCTCATTCTAGCAGGAGGAAGCCACTAGAGAGTTTTAAGCAGGTTTTAAAAGGATCCCTCAGCCATACTGGAGGAGATGATGCCTGTGCCAGGCTCAGCACACCATGGCACAAAGTATACGTGAGAGCCAATGATGCCGGAGCAATGAAACAGGGCCTGGTTGGCTCCCATGGCATCTGGAGGACACGAAGCCTCTTATACATCAAAGGGGATAGGGAAGAAATAGGCATGGATCTGGAGAGAAATGTAGCCTTTGGAGAGCACTCAGAATCGGGCTTTAAGTTACTCCAGAGCCAATACTCCTCCTACCCTCAAAGTGCAACAGGAGGAAACTAAGTCACGGCACAACAAAGAGCCAACTCTGCTCCACCACGAGGAACAGTCCCTTGATCAGATCAGCAGCAACACACTGATTAAAGAAAAACAATTTGTTTTAATTTATAATTTTAAAACTGCCCAAATAATATTGTCTATCATTGTAGAAAATGGTCATTATAAAAATGCAGACAATTTGTTTACAAATAAACAAAAAGAAGACAAACTAAATTCCAATTACCTGGAATTTACAACCAGAAATTACAGTAACTAATAGGTTTGGCTATATATATCCAGATATTTATGAATATGTAAACAAATCTAGGCCTTATGCAAATATATATGTGTGTGTGTTGTACATGCTTTCTAAAAATGGAATTATGCTTCATAAATTGTGCTATAATCTGCTTCTTCCACTTACTATTCATATATACAAGGGTACTTTAAAAAGTTCATGGAAAAATGGAATTCAAAGATGTTGCAAATCTTTCCATGAACTTTTTGAAGACCCCTCGCACTGTGTGCCTTCTAAGGTGCTTAACCTCTAGAGTGACAGCATCCTTTTCAATGCTGCATGGTACTTCATAAAGGACGTACCATACTTCATTCAACACTCCCCTATTGTTGGGTAGATAGGATGTTTCCAATCTGACCAGAAAGCCTAGAGCAGTGACCCCCTCTAGCATCCTGTCGTGGTGCCACCCACCTACCCACATCAGTTCTGTGTTACTTACGGCAAACTCCTCTGGAGTCACTTTCAAGACATCGAAGACAACAGCATCGTAGCTCTTGCTGGCATAGTCGCAGCTCTGTCCCTCCAGAGAGTCTGAGCTGCTGCTGCCCTGTGGAGAATGTGGAGAGATGATGCCAACTGTGCAGGCTGGTTTAGAATCACTGCCTCCCAAAGCCCCCAGGATTGAGGATGGGAGAGTGATAGAACTGTATAATGGCAAAGGCTTTCACTGTTTAGTGCTTTAACACTATTCTAGGCACTGTGTTAAGCACTTCGTATACATAATGTTATTTAATTCTCCTGGGTACCCTATGAGTACACACTATTATTATTCTCATTTTACAGAAAAGGAAGTAGAGGCAATGTTACTCAAGGTATCTCAGCTACAAAACTGAAAGCCAGAATGTGACCCTAGTTTTATATCTCTTTGACACCTAAACATAAACCTTGAGTAGCTACACCCTAACTGCTTCTGGCCAGCGGTATAGTGGTGGGGTAAAAAATTACAGTCCAGTCTCTTTCAAAGCAAATAAGAGGCCTGAGGAAACCATCTGTTTCATTTTATATATTTCAAACATTACCTGGTTTCACCTGTTTTTTTCCTACTTGAAGTCATTGTAGAAAATTGTTACGCAAAATATAAAACAGGGTCTCAAGACTTATTTCATGTATGGGCTACTGGAATTTAAGATTGCTAATTTTATATATTTCAAACATTACCTGGTTTCACCTGTTTTTTTCCTACTTGAAGTCATTGTAGGAAATTGTTACGCAAAATATAAAACAGGGTCTCAAGACTTATTTCATGTATGGGCTACTGGAATTTAAGATTGCTAGCTGATGGGCTAAGAGGTAACAACCAATTGGCTTTGGAGATTGGCGTGAAAGTTATATTTAGTAGAGTCCCTTGTGTTAAGAACATTCTGAGTCCTGTATGTAGTGAAAAGATCTCCCATAAAAAAGCGAGTTAAAACAAATGTGGCTGATTTCATGAAACCCAACACTGTGGGGATCCCAGAATGTTGAACATACCTTCTCTTTAATTTTATTTAATTTCATCAAACTTTACTTTTGGGAATCAATTGAGCTTACCACCCCAAAATTGTGCCCCATTCATAAATGGTTTTATTTGTCTCAACTCATGAAGAAGGATTTTGTGGTTTCTATTAACCTCAACATCTTGGACCAGGATTTAGAGAATACACTTCTATTAATTCCTCTTTATTTCACTCTTTCCAAAATGTCTATATCTGGAAAAACTTTGCAATCTTACTGGAAACTAGAGTGTTTTTAAGCCAGTGAGGGAAACTGATAGTCAACAATTAAAAATGTGAGGTTAAAAAGAGGCGAAGGAACTTAAAACTGTAGATTTCAACAGGCCTGTATCATTAACAGGTTTTGCAAATGAGCCTACTATGCCAAAAACTCTAAGATGATATTAAGAAGCAGTATACCACAGTGGTTAAAAGCTCTGAAATCAAACAGACCTGGTTAAAATGTCACCTCCATACCAGTTGCTGTCCAACCTCAGGCAAGTTAGTTCATTTTACTGAGTCTCAGTTATCTATAAAATGGTGAGATTAAAACCTACTTCCCAGGCTTATAGGACAAGTTATATAAAATGAAGCTTAGAAATCAACTGGCAGAACCCCCACTCCCTGGGAGACACTGATTCAAGGAGCCTGGGGTGGGCTCAGGCATGGCTCTCAGTCCACAGGTGATAGGACTTTCTCCCCTGGCAAGAATCTGTTAAACTTTAAAAGTAATAAAGACTTCTGAATGTTTCTGGAATTGGCAGTCTATCTTTCAATCTTATACACAGACCCTGAGCAGAAGAAAATCTGCAAATCTTTCTATACTTCTACATCTAACTTCCAGGAAGCAGGCCAAATCAGGGTGACAGGGCTGATTTTCTCTAGGACAGTGTAGTGTCATGATCAGCAGCACCAACTCGAGAGTTAGAGAGGCCTGGCTCTGAATCCCCACTTGCCTGGCTGTGTAATTCGAAGCCAGTTTGTTCACCTCTCTGTGCTTCAGTTTCCTCATCTATAAACTGGATAAAACAATAGTACAAACCCGAAAGAGATATTGTGAGGATTAAAAGAGAGGATGCCTGTGGAACATGCAAAAAAGAAGTGCCTGGTATATAGGGAGCAATAAATTATGGGTGTGTATGGTTGTAAATGTGTCATTTCAAACACCAAAATTTATTGAGCACTTCAATTATACATGTATTCATTCATTCATTCATTCAATAAATATTGAATACTTACTATGAGCTGGATACACATATATGTACATATACATATTGCATGAGTATGTATGCACATATATTTGTGTATACACTCATATATATACATGCATATACACACACAGAAACCAGAGAAGAAAGAAGTTTTACTCAAGATGGAATGTAAATTATAGAAACAGAAGTCTGATTCCTCTAGTTACCAAACAGTCTGTTTCTGGGACTTCAGGCTTTATAACTTTCCTGTAACATTACTATTATACCTGCTCCAAACACACACATTCATATAAAGGGACTTGTTTAATCAAAAGTTGCCTCAAAAAAAAAAAAAAAAAGTTGCCTCAAATACATTCATTGGTGATAATGATGAAGATCATGATTATAATGCTGCTGCTTCTGCAGCAACTTTATTTAAACCTATATTAGCACCTTTAGGGAATTTTAAAAGGCACCCACAAGTCTGATTTCAGGACCAGAGATCAAAATAAGGAATTTCTGGAAAGGTTTATAAGAAATGAACTAGCTGTGATTTTCTGGCTGGTCCACCAGGATCATTTCAGAAGCCCAGCCTGACGACGAAGGCCTTGTGAGCTCAGAACTCTGACACTGCCTTGTCAAAGGAGCAGGTATTAATGCATTCAACATGGTGACACCCTGGGCCTCAGACCACACCCGCTCCTTCCACATGCCTCTGCTCCATTACTGAGCTTAGAAAGCAAACTCTCAAACCCCACAGCAGTGGCCCTAGCCCAGGCCTCTCTAGACCACCAGTCCTTACAGCCATTTCCTACTGAGCAAGGTAAATAAGAACCCAGGGCCAGCTGGAATGACTTCTGTCTGACTTCATTCCTAGGAAAGGTCTGATCCCTTCTTGCCACCAAAATGGAATGTGGCACTTGCTACAACTGGACTGGGCAGGTATTTGTCTTTCTTTGAAGAGAACAACTTCAGAAAACATACTGATCCTCAGGGCTGACTGCCTCCCAAATCTCACGCCTGGCATGGCCAGGGGCCTTGGGAGTGCTAAGAATGGTGGTATTCATCGAGCCCTGCAGCCCTGCCGTCCATGGCTCACCTGGGGCCTGGGTCAGCTGAAAGGAGTCCCTCCCACCCACTGTCCCAATCCTCACAGCCTCTGTACCTGTGGAGTGGCGGAGGTGACCAACACGCTAGCCATCAGACCATTCCTCTTGTACATAGTCTCCAGGCCACAGGGAGCTTCAGGGCAGCCTCTGCCGGTGACATAACCTATCTGGAGAAGTCCTGCAAGGCAAAGGAGCTCATAAAAAACAGTCATCAAAACCAACTTAATCCTGTCTGCGTGAGAAAATCGTACCATACTTGAGCAGATCACCCTGGAGGAGACCTTTAAAGAAAGGTCCTAAGCTGGTGGCCTTCAGGCTAAATATGGCCCACAGATAGAGTTTGTTGGGCATGTATAGAATTTTAATATATTTTAAATTACCAACACTTAAAAATTAGAAGATTTCACATAGAATTCTGGATTTCTGGCTTTTCTGGCAATACAGAGCCCGTATTCCTATATGACAACCATCAGCTGGGCTTAGCAGTGGCTGTCCCTTCTACTGAAGCAAGTATCTTTTAGTCCCCACCTGGCCTGTGCAGCCATTCCAATATACCTGACCCTTGCAGGCACCAGAGTGTGTGATCTTTGTTTTAAAACAAAGGTGGGGTAAAGAAGACAAACTGATTCTACTGTGTTCACCTAGGTGCCATACTGTTTTGTCAACAATAACGTGGATAATAGCTAACCCCCATATAGTACTCACCATGTGCTGTGAGCTTGACACACATTAACTCATCTAACCTTCCCAACAATTCTGAGGTAGGTCCTGTTACTACACCCATGTTACATGTGGGGAAATTGAGGCACAGGGAGATAACTCACTCATGCTGTCCCATCATCCCATCATCATTCAAGACCCTGCTCAAATGTCATTTCTTCTGGTTATGATGACTAAACTACCCAAAGCAGAACCACACAATCAACGTGCACACACCTGTAGCAGAGCATTTATCACATCACTGAACACAGAGAACTGTAGCCATTGACAGCTTTTTAGCAAGAAAGTGTCCAGGAGAGTAGGGAGGATGTGGTGGGGAAAGGGAAGGAGATGGCAAAGACACCAGTTGGAAGCCAACTGCAATTATGTGCACCAAGAGGTGAGGAGGGTCCACTGAGCTAAGGTTGCAGCAGTGATTCCACAGAAATTGAAGTGGGGATGGAAGAGAAGAACCAGCTGAGGATGAGATGGTTTCTGGTATAAGGTACCAACAGACGGACTTTGGACTTCCCAGCCTCAGAAATTATAAGCAATAAATTTCATTTTCTTTATAAAATGCCCAGTTCTGTGTATATAGTTATAAGCAACAGAAATAGGATAATACAATATGATTCCAGTTTGGGAAATGTCCAGAGAAGGAAAAGTATAAGACAAAAACACACACCAGTGGGGGCTGGGCTAGGAGCAGGACTGACTGCACAGGGACACAAGGGAGTTTTTAAGGTGACAGAAATGCTCTAAAACTGGATCGTGGTGACAGTTACAAAACTCTAAAAATTCACTAAAAATCATAAAATTGTACAATTAGAATGGGTAAATTTTGTGGTATGTAAACTCTACTACAATAGAAGAAACACCTTCAGCTCTGTTTCATGATGGTCATCTGAACTCACACATTTAACCCCTCCTTATCCCCTTTGAAATAATCAAGTAAATATTAAAATACTACAAACATATAGTATTAGCACATGACAACAGAGAAGGGCATTATTATAACACCACACTCTAACCAACTGAACTAACCAGCCAGCCCAAGAAGGTTACTATTAATTAACAAAAAACTCTGAAGAATTTCCAGGGCAGAAGAGACTGAGAGGAGAGGAAAGTCCCTGGAGCAAAGGAAAGATCTCCCGGGAACTGAGTGGATGGGGTCCTCCAACAGAAACGCCCCTGAAAAACCCAGAGACTTCAAAATGGGGAGTCCAAAAACTGAGATTAAAAGTAAGTCCAGCTCAAGAGTGACACAGCAGTCAAGCTTCCTGGACTGTCTCAAACCAGACAAACTAACTCAAGTGGGCTGGGGTCAAGCTTCCTAGACTGTCTCACACCAGACAAATCCAGACAAACTAACTCAAACAAGCTGGGGGTCTGCGACCAACTCAGCCAGTCTATTCAAAGACAGAACAAACCAGCTTGATAGGACAGAACCTGTTCAGATCGATTCAAACAGGATTCAAGTGACTCAATCCAGGCCTAACAGAGAGTCACCTTCGGAGACTGAGTATAAGACAGCCCGATTGATCCTCCTTGAGTGGATCCAACCAGCCTCAGTTCAAGGCCACTGAGATGGGCTTTGCTCCTTTCTGGGTGTGCCTGGCACCCTGCAGGTCTCCCCAGGGGGAGCCCAGACACAAAGCTCAATCTGCTTGGCCTGGCCAAAACCAGAGCCCTTGCTCCCCTACTTGCCTGACCACCATACATTCTCGAGCCGCATAGGTGCCCCAGTTCTCTGACCCTCTCCTGTGACTGGCCATCAGCTCACACCCTGCTTCCCATCAGAAGGATGCTGCCAACTCTACCCATTTCTCCAGCATCACCTGGTGGCGTGCTTAGGTGCTCCCTCTCCACACACCAATAACAGCACTAACAGTAAGTGCTGATGCTGTTCAAGGCACTGGGCTAAGCTTTATATTTTTAGCTCATTTAAACTTCACAAAAGCCCCATGAGGTTGAGACTATTTTAGATATCCAGGAAACTGAGGCACAGAGAGGTAAAATGACTTACTGCCAAAACTCTCCATCCAGTCTAGGCACAGGACAAGCACTCGATCAAGGTTATTGTTACTATTAGTGTTAACCTTATCCTACAAGTATCTATTAACTTATACCTATTCTTTTTTCCTAAAACAAACAAAACATTAACTTTAAATGTTCAAGAAAGAACAGCATCATGCTCTGTGAAACCATGGGCTTCCACATTCCCATCAGTGGGCTCCAAGCTTCCTGAGGAGCAGGGGCCAAGTCCAGGACCCCAAGTATAGGGCTCCTCCTCCAAGAGGCTCATCCTGCCTACCCCGTCTCCACTGCAGCCCCAGCCCACCTAGAGACAAAGTATGACAGCCATAGTGTGTTAGCCATTAATGCTTGCTATGGGCAGTCTGAGCTGGGAAGAAAGACAAGCGCTTGTTTTTGATCTGACTCCTGCATGTCTCGCCACTGACAAAAACAGCCTGATTTATGGGCAGCAACTCTCAGACAAGTGATATTTCACATGCTAAGAAATAACAGGACCAAGCAGAATGAAACAACCTTTCCAGGACCCAAAGAAACCTCCACTCATTCAACTTCAGTCCCTGAGGCCTGGCTGAGCCCTAACTCTTGTATCAGGGAGCAGACTCCCATCAAAAAGGTCATCCCAGCCCGGGCCCCTCCCAGAGAACCACTTCCCTACCCCAGAGGAGGGCCCTGAAGATGGGTGACTGTGCATCCCAGGCCAGACCAACTGGACGATGGTGGCCACCTGATTCTCCTAGGAATTCAGGACCCTAAGACACCAGTTTTTTCTGGCCAACCAATCTGAGGCACTGTACCCTTGGGAATAGAGTAGTGCAGGGACAGTCTGGTGAGAGGGGTAAAAGCAGGGGGAGGAAACAGATGCACAGAGAAGCTGAAGAGAGAACTTGTGTCTGAATTAAAAGGAGAGCATTCCAGGGCCCTGTAATAAAATGCCTCTCTTTCAGTGTCAGGTAGTTAGAGTAGAATTCCAAAAAGACCTTGACCAAGGCTAGTTCCTAAACATGAAGTCCATTCCAGTCCACCAGAAACCAGACCTTGGGCTCATTGGCTCATCGGAAAGGGCACATGGGGGGCTCATTGGAAAGGGGAAAGATATACACCATTCATTCATTCACTGGGCTCCTACCTCATGCCAGTCATCGTTATAACCAACAGTTCTTCACTGTCTTGTGTCTTGGACACTTTTGGCAGTCTAGTGAAACCTATGGGCTCCTTCTCACAGAAATGTTTTTAAATGCATAAAATAAAGTTACACAGGGAACCAATTATATTAAAATATAGTTATTATTTTTAAAATAATTTGTAATGTAGTAATTATATATGTCTTCATATAGGGAATATATATACATATATATATATTTCTTTATTGTTGCATTAAATAACAAGAGCTATTGGTGAGTCTAATAACTTCCATAATTTCAAAGTAGTTATGAGTACAGATATTCTGAGATGCTCACAACTGTTACGTGAAATGAAATTATCTGTGATTTCTATTGGTGACAAAGTCCCAGATACTGTTAATATTAATGTGATTCATTATCTATTTTAGTGAGAGAAATGCTAAATTTTAATTAGAAGTTAGTGAAAATAAAAATGTCATTTTTTCCCATCCAAATTCATACATGCTGTGGTCATGAACCCCTGTTTCAGGCACTGGAAACACCAAGAGAGTAGACACATAAGGTAGGTGCTCCAACAGAATTTGCATTCTAGATCAGGAGTTAGAAAATGCATTGTATTAGTCCATTTAGGTTGCTTCTAACAAAATACCTCAAACTGGGTAATTCATGAAGAAAACAAAATTTATTGCTTACAGTTTCTGAGGCTGGAAAATCCAAAGTCCATCTGGTGGTGGCAACAGTGACCCAGGTGTCTCACACTGCAAGATGGTGGAAGCGGAGAGAGCAGAGAGAGAGAGAGAGACTCTCTTCTTCTTTTAAAGCCCTAAGAACCATGCCCCTGACCACCATTTTTAATCCATTCACTACTGTGTGGTCCTACAACCCAATCACTTCTTCAAGGCCCCACCTTATAATTACCATAATAGGATTTCCCACCCTCTTAACAGTCACAGTGAAGGCTAAGCTCCTAATACATAAAATTTGGGGGACACAACTCAAGTTTCAGGGAGTTTTGGGGGGGACATAACTCAATCTACTATATGCATGTAACAAAAAGATAACTTCAGATACTGATAAATGCCTTCAGGAAATAAAATAGGGTAGAAGATGATATTTGCCAGGTTGGTCAAGGAAGCACTCTCAGATGTAATATCTGAGCTGAAACCTCAGGAAGGGGGCAGCCATAAAAACCAGTGGGAGTGTTCTTTGCAGAGGGAACAGCAAGGAGCAAAGGCCCTGAGTTGCACATGAACTTATCAGGTTTATGATGAAGGCAGAAGGCTATGGCTGGAGCTTAGTCAGCCAGAAGCAGTGGACAGACAGGCTAGGGCCAAAGCACAAAGTGCCTTGTAGGCCATGGTGAGGAGTTTGGGTTTTATTTAGAGTGCACTGGGAACCCACCAGTAAACTAGAGGGTTTTGAGTGATGTGCATTGTTTTTGAAGATCATTTTGGCTACTGTGTGGAGAACTGCATTGGAGAGACCAAAGATGAA